TTGTTTGTTTGTTTGTTTGTTTGTTGTTCTCTCTCTAGGTCGTATCAAAAAGTGCTGAACCGGACATTGATGAAGGTCTTTACTCTCGTCAGCTGTAAGCGGGGCCAGTCCCGGGGATGAGAAGGAAGGAGGAGGCACCCAGCGGATAGGTTGGGCTGATCCAGGCTCTGACCCAGATGTGTCCTTCTCCCAGGTATGTGTTGGGTCATGAGGCCATGAAACATCTCCAGAAATCCAGTGTGTTGGTATCAGGTCTGCAGGGCCTGGGTGTGGAAATCGCTAAGAACATCATACTTGGTGGGGTGAAGGCTGTCACTCTCCATGACGAGGGCACAGCCCAGTGGACTGACCTCTCCTCCCAGGTACCTCTAGTTCTGACGTTGCCTTGCTAAGATGCCAGCCTCCTCAGGATGTGCGTCTGTTACAGTCCTGTCTTGCCACACTGTTTGTAGTACTATCTGCGCGAGGAGGATATTGGGAAAAACCGAGCAGAGGTGTCACAACCCCGCCTTGCTGAACTCAACAGCTATGTGCCTGTCAGCACCTTCACTGGACCCCTCGAGGAGGACTTTCTTCGTGGTTTCCAGGTACCTCGGGGCCTCACCCTTTGTCCTGCCTCGGATATTTCTCAGATATTTTCTGTGGCTCCTTAGTCAAGTATTTGTTTTATGGCCGAGCCTCGTGGTGCTGTTTTGTGCTGCGGGAGCAGGCAATGAATGAGACGCTTGATCTGCCCTTGGGAGATTCATCCCTTTTTAGAGGGGTAACTGCGGCAGCACTTTATTTTGCAGTGTGAGGAGCACTGAACTCTTGAACTAAATTGCCTGCGGGTTAAGTCTTGACCCTTTCTGGTTAAAGGACCAGGAACAGGTCACTCCCTGTTTTCTTCCCCAGTTTTTCCCTTTGGTTGCATTTCAAGAGTAACAGTGGTGACCTTAGCGATTTTGAGAGGCTGAACCTTGGACTAGCAGTTGGCTAGGTCAGGGGTGGGTAAGTGTTTCCTAGATGGACTGCAAAGAGCAGCTGTGGATGCTGATGGGTTTCCCTGGTTTTCTGAGAGGGCTCGGGTACTGCATCGACCTCTTAATACAGCAGCAGAAGCAGAACCTGATGAATAGAGTCTTTGAAGGAATCCCAAAGCCACACAAGGATTCAGCTGTGGCTGGACAGCAATTATTTTGGGAGCTGGAACGAGTAGGCGCTTCCGGTGTAAACCAAGACTTTGAGTGGAGCCAAGTATTGCACTTGTTTTCTATCTCAGCACCCAGCAGGAATGGAATGGGCAGGCAGTAGTCCTTGACTGTGACATAAATTCACTGCTCTCTTCAGCCTCTGTGCTTCCATTACCTCTGTATCTGTCTAATCGTGGATTGGAGGG